CAATTTAATCGCAATATTCATTATTAGGCACAAGTTCCACAATCAGTATCAAAGTTTAGCAGTCACATGTTCAGTTACTCTCAAGTCACCAATTTAATCAAACAATGAACATATGAAAAGAGTTTAGAGATGGTATACTCATGCAATTAATTAGCAAAATAAAATTGACAAAAAATAAGGGATGAAAGAAAATAAAACATTTGTCGGTCTGAACAGACTCGACGTGAAAGACCTTTGGAGGTGGTGCGATGACAACGGTGAACTGAATGACGACGACGAGGTGGAGATCTAACGACAAGTGCGATAGTGTTGAACTGATGATGATGCGACAATGAGACAAGGGCGATGCGATGACCTGCGGGTAATCGTCGGGTCGATCCAGGCAGCGGGCATCGCGACGAGGCTGGTAGCGGACATCAAGATGAAATAAGTGGCGGCTCGACGAGTGGAGGACGGAGGGAAATCGACGGTTGTTAGGTGGTTTTGACGGTTTGCAGAGGCGGGAACGACGACTGCTTGAAGGTAAGGAGAGCAGGAAGGGATCTACAGCTTGTTGAAGAGAAGGGGTGGGGACAGTGGCTTGAGAAGGTACTGGATGCGGTGGCTCGAGGGAAACAAGCTGGAGACGGATTTGTAGGAGGATGGCGGCTGGTGTGGCGGATGCAGGAGGGGGGAAAGGCAGGGCGACGATAACAAGGGAGCAGGAAAGAGGCTGACGGGGGGATGCGACGGTTGTTAGGAGATGAGGAATGGCTGGGGTTGAGGGCTGATGTGGTGGGGTGCCTGAGAATGGGGAAGCATGAGTTGGTGTTGTCGGTTGTGGGTGGAAGAGGAGAGAGAAGCGGTGAATGGAGGTTGTGAGATGAACGGGAGAAGATAGACGTTTGACGGCTGGAAGAAGAGGAATAGGTATTAGCCTAGGGTTTCACACCCGAGGCCTAGGTTTCACACCCAAATTAAGCCAAAACAATTTTCATTTTAATTTTTAATAATTTATTTTTTTCAATAGTCTTATACAACCTTATTTATAAAGAAAAATTACGTGCACAACGTGCAATATAAATAGAAACAAAACAACAATCCCTCAAATCACACAACTACTAAAATTAAACTACAATTCAAATTTCAAAAATTAAAATAAAATAAAGTCAACTAATAAAATATGGAAATTGTCATTTCTTGTCCTCATCAGGTGGAGTTTGGTGAGGAGGCTGAGATCTTAGTAAGAAAGCCGCCTAGGAAGAAAGCATGGAGATGATACCGGTCGTGAAAATTCTGCATTGATGACTCTCTAAGCTGTAGGAAGAATAGGGGTTTTTGGTACCTAGCTTTTACACCTTGTTGGAAATGGACTATTGAATTTTTTTTTTGTTTATGACTTCAAAGCCTATATGAAACCCTATATATACAAGGGCATGGTTGGTCATATCAATACTATTTAATTAAGCCTCAATTATATGGTCTATTGTTCCTAATAAAGTAATAAAATGAATCTAGACCCTCCAACCAACTGTACAACCAAGTCTCAATTACATAGCGATATAAGCCTAATGTAATGGTACAATGAATAACATTCCATTATTTCTTTACCCATATTCATTTTGTAAATCTGTTCCATATCATTGGGTTCTTAGATATTTGCTCCTCTATTTTACTATTTAGAGGTGGGATCCATTTGATATATTAGATAATTTCTTTTTGTTTTGAATTGTATAATGCATGGTTCTTACCTAGTCTACTATTTGGGATGCAATAAAATATCATGCTCAAAGTTGTTTGATTCGTCATTAACTGGGATACCTGGGTACGGGTTTTCGGGTGCCATACCCATACCCATACCCAACCCGTATCGGGTATGGGTAAGCGCCCGATATGAGTGGGACACGTTTCAATCATGATTTGTGGAAGATTTTCATGAAGCCGGTTCTTTTTCCTATTGGATTAAAAGAAACTTTATCAACAAGAAATTAGCAAATATATAAACTACTTATCTCCCACTAGCTTTATAAACTTTCTATCTCCTTCAGTTTCAAAGTTCAAACTGTATTAATCTATTAGAAATTGCAACAAACTAAAAAATTAAAACTAGTTAAACAATAAGAAACTAAAAAAATGAGTTTAAATTAAATAAATGTTGTAAAAAAATCAAGAACAAACTCTTAAGTATCCTATCCTTTGGTTAAACAGAGATTGGAATTAAGTTACTTTGAGTTAAAGAGTGGCAGAAATTCTAAAATGGATGAACTACACACAATGATGCTTAAAGAAGATCAAGAGCAATACACTAATCAGGCAAAAGCTAACCTTATCAAACAGTGGACATGGCAATCATCACCATAGTTATACTTTAGAGGAATAACTAAATCAACACACTACAAAGGCAATTAAAGAAGTACTACGTTGTGACTCTGTGTGAGAGAGACTCTAGAGGGGAGGGGGAGGGGGGGGAGGTTGGTTGGTGTGAGAGAGACTATGAAGGTGAGAATGAGAGATAGAGGAAACCCACCTTCAGGAGGGAGGGAGGGAGAACCAAAGCTGATCTATCACGTTCCAAGCTTGCTAGCCCGTAGTGCGATGTGAGCAATGTAAGCCCTACACTATAGCTTTATCGAAGAAAATATCCATAATCATATCCGTTAGAATATGGGTATGGTTCCTCAAATCTACAAATGATAGGATATAGTTAGAATGGTTTTGTAGTGAAGTACTTAGATCTGTATCTGAAATATCCGAATACATATTGGTCATAATGTTGTAATAGTATTAATCCTTAGATTAATGGATTTGAGGTTAATTTTGATGAACCGGATGTCCTTAGCTTTTCAGATATAACAAACATATTAATGAACTCTTTTATGTCACATGAATTATACTTTTTTCAATATTATCTATTTTTCTCATATCAGTTTTGTATTTACATGCTTATTCGCTTATATATCCGTATGTATACCCGCATTTGTATCCAATTTTAGCAGATATACATATGCATTTTTCTTACCAAGATATATTTATATTCGTATCTGTGATGGGTAAGCTGATATGGATATGGTAAGTACCATATCTGAGTCGTATTCAGACCGAATGCACCCTTACCTGAGGCCCACCTAGTGCAACACGTGGTTTGGCTCAATCCACTATTAAAATTGATTAGCTCATGTTGCACTTGGCTCTCAAGACCCATCATTTAAGCCTTCTTCAACTCTATCAATTTCCCAATGTGGGGCTATTTGTGGGGCACCACATGATCTTTGGCGCTGCTGTGGAAAACCAAAGCTGCCATTAGGTTGTCGGTCGTCATCGCCTTGTTGTCGTGTCGCATCGTCGTGAGCAAAAATTTCCCCTAATTCACTACTTCAAAGAGAGGAGAAAAGGAAATGGAGGGCTTAGGATAATTTTTCCCGAAACCCTTTTTATTGTAACTATTGAGTTTGGATGCAATTTAGAATCTGAAACTTTTTAAATGTGAATTTTTGCCAAAATATGCTGGTAGTTTGGCCTGAAATAGCAGCTTATATATCTGACACTAATCGATATTTCACTGATATGTTCCCAAAAAATTCCATATGATTTAAAATTTAAAATATCCTTGAGGTAAGCCTTTGAAGCGACATGTCGGACATTTAAAACTCTGCTTGGGGTGGTACCACGTCATGTTCGCAGTATTGTTTCTTACTGGTGCATGTTACAGGAATTTATGGTGCTATAAAGATCTTTCAAGTGGCCTTGAACTCAGGAAATATTACTTAAGCTAATAGAGTAACACCTTTGTGAAATCCACCAACTGGCATATGCTAGCATAGTTAGCAGTTTGACGTCAATTCTTTCCACTTCTATCATTTTTTGCCATTTTCTTTCTCTTTTCCTTCTATGCCCTTTGTTTTGGTCTATGCATCCTTTGAAGTTCTGCATGTCGTGCTTAATTTTGTCTCAAACTAGGGTTCTTGTTTCCATACCTCTTCTCTTCACCCTATATCTGAAACCATATTATTGTCCCCACTCTTCACGGATATAGTTAGAGTTGTCATTCTTATCCATGATTGCAGTTTGAGACAGTAATTTACGTGATGTTGAAAGGACTCTTAGTAGCATATGAGCATCCTAATAAATACTGATTGAATGTCATCACAGTCATCATTATCTAGATCATCTAAAGTTGATCCAAAATAGATTTTGCTATGGAGCATAACTCTTTATGGTAATATCACAGTAATTCCATGGTCTGCTCCCAACCGCAGATCGATGAGGCCAAAATTGATATTGAGGATCCTACACACAATGTAGGATGCATCTTATCTTCATGAAGGCTAGTTCGGAGATATGAAGACTTACCTTATTGGTCATGCAAGTTAAGCATGTGAGACCTCCAAGATTCTCCTCGACTATGGAAGGACATCGGACATCTGAAAGAAAGGGCTGAGGGCATGTTTGCTATGGAATTGCATTCAACATTGAGAGATGACAAAGACTGTTTCCCAATCACAGAAGACAATCATGTTCATGCATTTTGAATGAAGGAGGTCATATTAGGTTGTACTATGAAATGGACTAGCTGTTTTCCAGTTAAATCTTGCTAAGATATCTCGTCATAAATACTTCTGAGCGTGTGGTCTTTGCTATGTTGTCACATAAATATATGCCTCTATATGTTGTATATAAACTTTGAAATTGGTGTCTTCTTTGAAGCTTTATTTGAGAAGGATGTTTTAAATGCTTCATATTTGCTCTTTACCTATACACTTTGTGAATTCTTACTATTTCATGTGAGATAGAGACAATTTCATGCTGCTATAGAATTTCAGAAATAGTGATTCCGATATCCAATTCTATCTACTTTACCCTCTACTTTGCCATTGTTTAATCTGTAAAAAGTAGAAATAACGACATAGATCCAGCCTTAGTGGTATCAGCATAATCTTAGTTTGAAGAACGGTCACATGATCCTTCAATAATGACGATAATTTTGTTCACCTTTTAATTTCCTTATTTCATTAATGTTCTAGGGGATGGGTGAGCCGCTTCATAACATAGAAAATGTCTTAAAAGCTTCTGCCATAATGGTTGATGACCAAGGTCTTCATTTTAGCCCTCGCAAAGTGACTGTTTCCACCAGTGGTCTTGTTCCTCAGATAAAACATTTCCTCAGCAAATCTAACTGTGCACTAGCAGTCAGTCTTAATGCGACAACCGATGAGGTAATTTACAATTTCACATCAGACCAGCTGATAGTATTATAATATTTTCTTTATTCGTTTAGTTTCCTTTCTTCTTTTGGAAAAAAGAATAAGACATTGTTCTTAATTTTTTATCAAAGTGCAGGTAAGAAATTGGATTATGCCTATCAACCGGAAATACAATCTAAGCCTGCTTCTGGGGACATTAAAGGAGGAGATCCGCTCCAAACATAGATATAAAGTTCTATTTGAATATGTTATGCTTGCAGGAGTAAATGATAGGTCAGGATTATCTCCTATTTCTCATCTTTATAAATTCTGAGTTTGTTTCAGTTTATATGGCCTTCCTTCAATCTTTGAACTTAAATAGTTATATGTAAAGGTTTAGGAAAAACATGCATTCAAATCTTCATAACTCGTGCTCTTGCGCTTTCTGCACCCTTGTGTTTCTATACATTTGAAGAAAGCGTGAAGGGTTTTGATAGAGGAATTTATGATAACTTAGAAACTTTATAAGAGGCTCAAACTACTGCTTGATCTTACATGAGATTTGGCACAAGAGGGTTACTGTAAGAAAATGGTGAACAAGTCTTTTCTGTCTCTTCTGATTGACAAGCATAAAGCATCTCAATTCTAGCAGCAAACTACATTTCTTTTTCTAATTGTAGTTAAAAAATTAATTCTTTTTTTGTTTTTGGTCAAGAATCACTTCACAAAAACATACTTTTTGCAACTCCAGTTGGAAAAAGATTTGCTGTTGCAGTGAAACCGACATCTGCAACTGCGACTGTAATTTGTTTAAAATAGTAACCAGACTATCAAAAAAATAAACATGGGCTTACCGTGTCATGTAAATTGTAATTACAGCTGCAATTGCGGTTTTTCCCCCACTCTTCGTATCAAGCAACCTAGCAGTCATAAAGGCTGCCTTAGCTTCTTTATATCTATGATCCCTTGCTTTATTCATTAAACATGATCCCTTGCTTTATTCATTAAACATTATTTTTAAATCTGATATATTCTGAAGTCATAAATTTCCCTCTTGACCACAGTATTGAGGATGCAAAGAGACTCATAGAGCTCATCCGTGGGATCCCTTGCAAGATTAACCTGATCTCCTTCAACCCTCATAGTGGATCTCGGTTCAGGCCTACTACTGATGAGAAGATGGTTGAGTTCCGTAATTTTCTGGCTTCAGCCGGGTGTGTCGTCTTCATGAGGCCTAGTAGAGGGGATGACCGGATGGCTGCCTGTGGCCAGCTGGGGGAGCCTGGAGTTATCCAACCACCGATGCTTCGTCCTCCACCAAGGTTTCAAATGGCTCTATGATTTGCATGATTCAAAAGGGGCTCTCTTTGTGCAAAGTTGCAGGGTTTGGCATGAAATGTTTCACAGTTATTTTGAAGTTTACATTTTGTTTATACAATTTGTAGTTGTAATGCTTTTATAAATTGTGGATTGAGATTGGTATTAAGGATTCAAGAGGTGACATGAATCTAACGAATGACGCCTCTACTTCAAGATATTTTTTGTTTCTATTTTTAAAATGTTGTCAAACCCAAAAGAGGGTATCCGAATTCTTCTCTAAAAAGCTGTTAAAGAGGAATTACAAAGTTCTCATATATTATCTATGAAAATGCGTTGTTAGCAGGTGATTTCTTCATGAAACATCTCATGAGCGTGACCTTGTGCTGTCCAAGGCAATCCTGAAACTAAATAGTATCAGCTACTACCATGAAACACGAGCTTGCGTCATTTTTTTTGTTTCTAGTTTAGGAAATTGTCAAACAATATTTCTCGTGACTATGCCTAAAGAACAAATCAAGTAAATACCTACGTTTCTAAACTTTTGTCTTTTCTGCTATCTTCTACTGACGAAATCAAGCACGGCATTATCTTTGATTTGTTAGTATTTAGGCATAATCACCAAAAAGTATTTTTTTGCCTACTTTCTAAAACTAGAAATGAAAAATATCATTAAAGTAATTTCTCGTGGATAGTAGCCGATACTTATAGTTTCAGCCTGTAATTGACTTTTCTTGGACACATCAGGCGGTCATGCAAGTGACATGGTTTCATGGAGAAAATACCTACTAACAATGACTTTTCTTGTATAGTCCATGATAGTTTGCAATGTTTCTTTACCAAATTCTTGGAGAAGAATTTTTTGTTAGACCCTAGAGGGGGGTGATTAGGGTCTTATGCTAATCTAATCCGATTTTATATCAATTAAAACTAATAACAAGTTATCCTAGAAAGTATGAAATACAGCAAGATATATGAGCTAGGATATGCAATATGAACAAGATATATATCCTAGCAATGAGATATACTATGAGATATTATGCAAGGATATACAACTTAACACAAGGGTGAAATAAACATAAACAAAACAAGAGTGATAGTGTGCAAATAAACAATGCAAACACACAATATGATCACGGAGTTCGGACCTTCCGTCCTACGTCTCCGCTCCCCACTCCCGGGGAGAAATCCACTATCACAACCGGGTTTTCTACGCTTACCCGAACAACGTTTACACCTCACACTCGGTTTTCTAGTTTACCGAAAAGTCTACAATCAACACTCTTGCAATCACACTCTACACCATCTCAAGTGTTGGAACTAGACGTGTCTCCCTCAAGTGCTCGGATACAACCTCTCCCTAGGTTCGTCAACCCTCAAGTGCTCGGATACAACCTCTCCCTAGGTTCGTCAACCAACGTCACTCCTCTTGGGACGATCCCCGACTCTCGCCGCACACTTCTCTCGGTGTACAAGTATATTACAAAGTGATTCTCACAATAAACACAATTATAATAAATGATTGTTCTCTAATATGGATGAGAACACAATAAAAGCTCACACTCAATTGTTACAACTCTCACCAACCCAAATATACAATGTATGCAAATACAATAAGCTCAAGTGGGTGTGTGTAAACAATGAGTGAAATCAAATCAACTAAACTCAATATAAAACTAGCTTTAATAAAATGATAATCAAACAAATAGATGCAAAGCTATAAATAGAGTTTAGAAAACTTCTCAATAGATCAAGAGGTAGAGAGAGAATAGTTGGATGTCCAAACACCAATAGATGATCTCCTCAAGCTCTTGTGAAATTGATTTCACAAACTCAGACTTCCAAATGCTTAAAAGCTTCTTAAACAAACTTAAACCAAACTTAAACCCTTGTTTAAAACTCTTTAAAAGCTTCTTAAACAAACTTAAACCAAACTTAAACCCTTGTTTAAAACTCTTTAAACTTGTTTTAAAATACTCTCTTGGTTATCTTGATAACTGAGATCAATGGGGTATTTATAGCCTCCCAAAACCTCAGCCAAAAAAACCCCAAACAAAAGACCAAAAAGCCCCAAACAACAGCTGCAGGAAATAGCCATCGGGGAATGAAAAGACAGTGCAGTGGTCGACCGTGAAATTCTCGCGGTCGACCGTGAAATTCTCGCGGTTGACCGCGAGCCACTTTCGAGCCTGAGAAAAATCCAGAAACTTTTATGGTCGACCGTGGCGTTCGACCGTGGGATTTTTCAGGCTGACGGTCGACCGCGAAAGTCTCTGCTGGCTACTAAGGGAAAATCACAGGCGCAGTTGACCGTGACGGTCGACCGCGAACTGATACATGAACAGAACAGTTTGAAAGTTGTTTATTTGATTTTGAAACCCTGTTTAAAAATATCAAACAAATTCTAAAAAATATAAAACTTTGGAGAATGATTGTAGACATGATAATAAACATGCTATAAAATGACCTCCCAAATGAAAAATATCATCATTTTGCAAAATAGTCCAAAACATAAAAATGTAAACATATGAATTTTGTATTTTGGCTAAACCATATTTTAAAACTTTACAAAATGATTTTATAGACTTGAAGAAAGATGTAAACTATTGTTATGAAATTAAAAAACAATGAATATAGTATTTTGTCAAAATACACATATAATACACTAAAACATGATTTCAATGAACTAAATAAAATTGATATTGATGAAATCATATATATGCATATAAGTATGAAACAAAAATATGTATTTTCAATTGTATTCAATTGTTTCATATTAAAACTTGAAAACTCAAAAAGGATGTATGTATATATATAACTAAATATATATATAGAAACCAAAACTTAACTTATGTATATATATATATAACTATATATATATATACAAAGAAACCAATAAAATGTGTGTGTATATTATATTGAGCTTAAGGTACTAACATACATAATATAAAATCCTAAACTAAATTACCCAAGCTTGTTCTTGATCTTCAATAGCTTGACTTGGTAATCTTGCGGATGAAGCTTGAACTTGGATCTTCAACTTGAATTGTACATAGCTTCACCTACTATTCCGTTAACCTCCATTAGATATGATCGTTAAGGCTCGATTCCATCCATCCTCCAATACGTTGTTTGTCTATAATAAATAGAAATATGCAAACACTAGACAAACAACATTAGTGGTAAATTGTTTGTTAAACATCATCAAAACAAAGAGGCCAACAATCTCCCCCTTTTTGATGATGACAAACAATTTACAAAAAAAGATATATGCATGAAGGAAAATGAATATACAATATTATAATTATCATGCATAACAAGGAAAGAATATACTCACAATATTTCTCCCCCTTTGACAACATCAAAAAGGGGAAAACTATATAGATGAAAGAGAGCGAAAGCTCCCCCTATCAATATGCATGGGTGAGTATAAAAACAATAATACAATAGGGAAGACTCCTCCTATCAAAATGCCTTATGAAATATATTCAATAATGATCAAGGCACACTTATGTGAGTAAGCATAGATATAAGATATGCTAAACACAACTCACATGCAAAACAATAATAAGAGTATATATAAACATCATGAAGGGTGTTCAAAGATTTTAAGATGTATATATACAAACCAATCATTTATTATTCTTGCCCCAAGGAGATAAAATAAGGATCCAAAGAGGCATCATTAATAAAAATGTTTATGAAGGAGGATCCATGAAGGAAAATAATTTGCTTATATGTAGGGAGATAAGGAAACAAAATCAAGAAGGGATATTTTCAAAATAAATCATAACAAATGTATGGATTTATGAAATCAAAAGAAAAGAAACATGAAAATCATGCAAAAAGTTTTTAAATAAAAACAAATCAACCAAAAGAAATCAAGGTTTATATCCAAAAATGTAAAAACCAAATCATCATTGATTTTTAAAAATCAAGAGAGACAACTATATCTAGCTCTTGAGCTAGTAACAACCCATATAAATATTTAAGCATCCGGTAAACATGATTTGGGAATAAACACCCAATAAACCCATAGGGTTATATAAATACAAACCTCTCATCAAAACAAAACCAATAATCATGAAAACAAAAGAATTTGACCAATAAAAGGAATTTTTTTCATAAAAGTTTAAAATATATTTTTCAAAACCAAGAAAAAAAATAATAAAAGTACTAAAATTTTTGGCTTAAAATTATTTTAGCACCCAAGTATTCTTGGTGCCGGTTCGTTTAGGGACATGACCCCTATCATTAAAGCTCAAAGCCCTAGGGTTATGAACCCTCTTGGGCACATATGGTGCACTAACACGGTCAAAATAATATTCATTCAAATGACCCTTCCGATTGTAATTTGTGCAATGAAAGAGATCCATTTGTTTTTGTGGACCATTAGCTCGTGCACGGGAAACATTTGCAACCATAGATGATCTTTTAAGATTATTTTGCAAATGTGAAACATTATCAAAACAAAACTTTTCTAAGTGACCATATCTACCACAAACATCACATTTAAAAATATGTGATCTACTAGAAACATTTGGCAAAAAAGATTTTCTTTTTAAATCAAAACAATATTCGGCCAAATAACCAAAACGATCACAAAGATCACAATGACACATATGAGCATGCTTATGATGAACAATATGTGCATGTGTGTGTACATGTGATGAAGAGACTTGATGAGATGCACAAGGAGCATTGATATTTTTATATTTGTGTGCATCATAGCAAAATTTAGCTAAATGGCCTTTACGACCACAAATGGAGCACTTGTAAACTTTGCTATATAAGTTGTAGGCGTCAAAAATTACCTATGGGTTCCCACACGTAGTTCAAGACAAAGAGAAGATGATGAATGATATCATTCAAGTCAAAGAAGTTTTTTTGACGACGATGAAAAGCATTAAGAGAATCGGTAAAAGCGCACAACTCAACAAATTGACGAAACACGTGTAAAGGAGAGAGCAAGTGAACCGAAGGAATTGCAAACAGCCAAAAAAGTCAAAAAAATAATAATTGGCCAAGTGACTCACATAGCGCCGAGTCACCAAATGGTGACTCGCATAGCTTCGAGTCACCACGACTATCTGGGCCTCCCAAACCTCCCAAAACACGGATTTCGATATTTTATTAGAATTCTTACGTCCCAAGACCTCCCTAATTATTCTGAAGTGATCCTTAAGTGAGCCTAGGTGGTTATCAACTGCAGATGACGTCAAAACACGTGATCTTATCAGAAAATCTGGTGACAAAAGCCTATAAATAGAAGCCCAGAGTCTTTAATTGAAAGGATCTGAAATCTAAGGGCGAGGTGCTGTCCAATTGAACA